CATTCCACATTATTACAAATAACTTCATTTCTGGACATTTATGGTTTGATTTCTTTGTATGTATGGGTCACTTGGGTCGTTACCGACATCTGGTGAAATTTTCATGTCATTAGCGCCTCTAGTAATTTATTTACTGAGAAAAATGGTGACGTGTTCAATACTTATTTTACCCACTGTACCTATTGTGTCCATGTGAGGACAGTGTCAAATAAAAGCTTCCGTTATATCATTTAGCAGCAAACACCATCTAATTAAAACTGACTGGAGAAAGCAAGTCATTAACAAGACAGTCCTCTTTACGATGATGACCAAATATAACAGGAAAAGCCTCTAAAGATGAGAGGAGACGACCTTCGTTAGCCTCCATCAACAGCTCTGCGCCGAGGGACAACAAATGAGGTCATCAACTCCACTAAAAGCTTTTACCCACAATCCACCAGGAGTTCGCTGAAACAAATTCATGGCCGAGACGTAAAAGATGTTTCCTAAACAGGCTGACTTGGAGAAACACCAGCAGGACACTCATCACCTCACCTAACGATTCCCAGGAGACAAAACACAAGAACAAGTCTGTATCCTGCAGGAGCCACACTCCTCTGACTTTTACTTCTTGTTTACAGAGAGATTATTCAATCAACCTTTATTTGTAAAAAAAAAAAACTTTATGCACCACTGCACACAAGCACAGCTGATGTTATTCAAAAACACAAGTGAAATAAAACCTTACATAGAAAACCTGATTAGTTTTTTATTACTCAAACTTAAATAGATTCCGTAAAAGATGTAAAATTAAAGACACCGCTGCAGCTGATGTAGAGAATTAAAGGCAGATTATTTTCCTTTAATTTCCTTTTTTTATTTACAATTTAAGAAAAATCTCATTTCTAGTTCCCCTCAGTGATAGCTTGTTGATCAAATTATTCTTTGTGGCATTCAAACAATCTGAAGAAAATGTGTACAAGAGTTACACATGTAAAGGTGAAACTGGTGTCTATCTCCTGTGATGTTTACTGGATTTCATTAAACTGATTAAAAAACTGTCCAGAACCATGTTAAACCACAAAACAGAACTTTTTTTGGGAAACGAAATCAAAAATATCATCAGGTTCTGCTGTAGATCTGCTTCTTTATGTAGCTGAAGGTTCATCAGTCTGTTTCGCTACGTCTAAATGTTTAAAGTTTCTCTATTTTATTTATTTTCTCTTACCTACATTTTTTCTATCATTTCGCCTCAATGAAACAGTTTGTTTTAGTCTTTTGTCAATAATAATTGACTTCACATGAAATCTGTGAAGGTTTCATACGAATTTGATGACGAACATTGAAAATGTTGCTATGGAAGAGAAATAATTTCACCTTGAAAATAAAAAGATGGACTCTGTAACATTTCTGTCCATCAGTAAGGTAGAACGAGAACTCAATGAAAAATGGTTTTAATTCTCAGCTTTAACTGAAACAAAGTTCTTCACAGGAAGTTAACAAAAGGATGGTAACCTTGATGAAAAACTGATATTTAGAAATAGAACACTGAGAAGAGAATGAGCCACTCAACGCTTCTGAAAGATCTACAGAGTGAGGAGACAAAGACAAAAAGACAAGACACGAGCTGGACGGGAGACAAAACAACCTGTAACTTTATCAACCTAGTGCTTGGCCATTACATAAACAACTGCACACTTCCAGCAGGAACATTAAAAAGTGAAAGTCATCTTATTACAAGTTATCTGTACAATGTTAGTGACTGAGAGAAAAATATGACCAACAGAACTCTATCACTCTGCCTCTAAGTCAAACAGGCCACCTGACGATATCACTGAATATATTTTAATGAAACTTTCAGAAAGTAATCATTAGGCTGATGTCTACAACTAAATAACTTTCTATTCAAGACGTCTGTCACCGCAAAGCAATCAGCAAACACCATACTGGCTGGAACTCTGTCACTTTTACTGATGTTCAGCTCAAATGTGGTGTGTTAATTGTGTAGTTGTGTGTTAGTAGCTGTGACCGACACTCCTTCAGCTCCTTCAGAACCTCCACACATTTTTCTGTCTGTGGATCTAAAGAACTTTTTCTTCTTGTTCTGGAAGCCACCCAGGACTTTTTGTTTTGATTGTTTTTCCCCAGTGAGTGTCATTAATTTAAAGAAAATTTAAAAAACAAATAGATAAAAAATATAATTAAATAGGAGGAGGACTTTTAGATAGCAGGATGAGTGTAGGAATGTTTTAAATGACTAAAAATGAAATAGACAAACATTATCTGCTTTTTTGTTATCACAATTTGAATTCATTATATTTAAAAATCATCTAGACAGTAAAGAAGAAACCCCTGAGAAATAAAAATAACAACAAATCCAAAATACCCATCTAAATGTTCAAACAGTCCCAAGGCAGAGATGATTTACATCTGAGGTACGGCGTTTTCCTCTTCCTGAGGTTTGTAGCAGTGTTCTTAAAAATAACTTCAGTTAAATTTTAAAGTATGGAACTCCAACTTTTATATTTTAATACCGTATACATCTTTTTGTAACTTCCTATTTGTTCCACATATAGGTTTCACCTATTTAACCAGTGTACCAACCAGTGTAACGAGTTCAACCAAAGTGCCAACCAGTTCACCTAGTGTACCAACCTGTTTAACCAGTGTACCAACTAGTTCAACCATTATAGCAACKAGCTTAACTAAGGTGCCAACCAGTTCAACCAGTGYACCAACCAGTTTAACCAGTGTACCAACTAGTTCAACCATTATAGCAACCAGCTTAACCAAGGTGCCAACCAGTTCAACTAGCGTACCAACCAGTTCAACGAAAGTGCCATCCAAGTCAACCAGTGTACTAACCAGTTCAATCAATGTAACAACCAGTTCAACCAGTGTCCCAACCATTATAGCCAAGGTGCCAACCAGTTCAAACAATGTACAAACCAGTTTAACCAGTGTACCAACTAGTTTAACCAATATGCCAACCAGTTTAACCAAAGTGCCAACCAGTTCAACCAGTGTCCCAACCATTATAGCCAAGGTGCCAACCAGTTTAACCAATGTACAAACCAGTTTAAACAGTGTACCAACCAGTTTAACCAGTGTGCCAACCAGTTTAACCAAAGTGCCAACCAATTCAACCAGTGTACCAACCAGTTTAACCAGTGTAACAACCTGTTTAACTAGTGTACCACCAGTGTGTTAACAGTTCAACCAAAGTGCCAACCAATTCAACCAATGTACTAACCAGTTCAGGATCTATGTATAGGACTAGCTCATACATCTTTAATAAATTTCTTGTTTTTGTTTTATTCCAAAAAACCTAACTGTTGGCACACAAATTAATTAAAACACAGGTTATGTCAAAGCACTAAAAACAAGCATACCTGTTACCTCATGAGGCAATATATTTCATGTGTTCAGATTTGTGCTTTTTGTCCTGCAGTCATCCTGTAATTTAGAATCTATTTCCGCAGTGGGTATAACACAAGGACAACGACACTGACAGGTGCCCAGCAGGACGTCTTACCATTGAAGTTGACGGCACGGATGTAAGCCAGCAACTCCTTGCCATCAATGTTGGCCATGCGTGGACACAGGCCGGGGTATCCGGAACAGAGCTCACGGTGCATGTGGTGCAGAGCATGCGCCATAGCGTAAACAGCATCCATCACAAACTGCACCTTTCCTTCCTGCTCATAGATGGAGTCACGGCCAACCTTTTCCAACCCTGGAAGACAACAAGAACTGATCATTTAGAATCAAACATAAAAACACTGAAAGTCAAAGATGAAGTCTATAACTAAAACAGACTTTTTTTTTGAAGAAAGTTTAACTAAGTCGTGACGGATGAATGGACTGCGAGTGGTGAGCAGAGAGCAGAAGTCAAATAACCAAGGAATAACACCCAAATGCTGATTATTATGGATCTCCTGCAAATGATGAGTATCTTTTCACCATTTAAAGATTACGGTTTGATCTTGGAGTTTAGATGGTGTCTGAAAAATGTCCTTGAATTTAAAGAAAGTTCAGAATCTTGAAGTTCATCACAGCCTCAGAAAGAGTGAGAGGAGTTAGAAAGGTAGCTGCTTGAAAGTAAAACTATATCTTTGCTTGTTGATAATTCAACTTTGTTCTTTTCTGTATTTGGATAAGGGGACCACCTCCCGTGGACCCAGCCCTGGGGGCACCGCAGGAGACTGGTGAACTGGACAACAGCCTGAAAGTGAAGCCTTGGCAGTCAGATTCCAGGCTGTTGAAACTGTTTTTAGAGACATGAAAGATTTCATCACTGTTGTCTGAGGGGCTTAAAACTGTACAAAATAATGAGCAGTACCACTTTCATGAACATTTAGGGCTCTAGGTACAACCTTCAGTTGCTTTAGGTGAGAGGTAGGCTTGACTAATGCTACCACTCTTGATAACTAAATGTTGTTGACAACTACTAGGGCTTTACTGAGAAGAACAGCAGTAATTCAGATATATTATACCACGATCACAGATTGTTGTGGTATAATATAGTAGGACTAGGGGTATAATGATATGCCAAGGTTTAATGAATACCTCTGGTCATGGTTCAGCATGGTTCAATACAACAGATAAAAAACAAATGGTAGAGTTTTATTTTCTCCACAGCCTTCCTCTTTTCCCCCACCCTCTCAGCTCCATATCAACATGTTTTGTTCAATATACCCACTGTCATCTCTGGACGTGTCCAAACCATCTCAGCCTCATCTCTCCAAATTTGTCTTCAAACCTCTCGACCTGAGCTGTCTCTCTGAAATACTTATTTCTAGTCCTGTTCTTTTTGGTCACTTTCAGTGAACATCTTATCCCTTACCACCTTGTGCCTTTTTGTTTGTGGCGTCCTCTGACATCCACACCATTGTGTAAACCTTTCCTTTCATTCTGTCCTTCTGTCCCAAATCACCTGAAACTTGTTCCCACTCACTCCACCTGGTCTGCCTCGTCTTCTTCACTTCTCTTCAACACTGCCTGTTGGTTTAGAGCAGGGGTGTCAAACTTATTTCCACCGAGGGCCACATGAGCATTATGGTGGCCCTCGAAGGGCCACTTGCAATGAACTTTGACATTTCATGTTTAACTTTGACAAAAAAGTGTTTTAACACACCCTTTTTAAACACTGATAAGAACTAAGTGTACGACTGACTAAATCTGAAATAAATACAGAAATATTAAAAATAAAACTAATAAAGCTTTTCTCACTGATGAGTTTCTGATAAGTAGCTAATATGCATTATGGCAGATTTAGATTATGGTTGATGCTGACTTTAAAGCAGCTTATTTTCAGACATTAAAGGCACAGTGTGTAGGATTTGTTGTTTTCAGCGACATCTAGTGGTTGAGTGGTTGAATCATCCTCCCTGGTCCTCCCCCCACCCCCACCCCCCGCTTCCAAACGCAAAGGAGTTGCTACGGTGTCTCTCAGGTGTCAAAAACCTTTGATAATTCCAACAGCGATGTCTACCAGCAGCTTCAGGGCTAGTGATGTTTCAAGTGGTAAGATTATGAGCTTTAATAAGTAAAATTATCCCAGCTACAATGACAGACAACAAATATTACATTTATAGTATTACAACTAAAACCGTTTTTGACGCCGCCACCGCAGTTTGTCCTTCATGAGCCTTCGTAGACAAGATGGAGGTGCAAGATGGCGGCTGCCTGTAGTGGCGACCCGAAACCATGGAGATATAAACAGCTTTTTATAAGGTAAAAATAATAAAACAAGGTCTTTGTCTGCAATGATTAGATATGTTTTTTTTATTATTGTCATTAGTGATTATCTCAATTTCGGCTAAAAGAATTGACAAAATCCTACACACTGTGCCTTTAAAACTGTGCTATCCAACTAAATTGCTCAGTTAATTAAAGGCAACAGCTCAGGGGTAGGACAATTATTATTTTTCACCTTTTAAGTTTATTTTGTTGCATTTAATCATAAATTTAAAGTTTACCATTGATATAAGAAACAAATTTCATGTTAAGTAAAAAAAGAAATGGTGGGGGGGGGGGGGGCTTACCCCCCTGGCGGGCCACACGGGAGTCACCCGTGGGCCTTTAGTTTGACACGTGGTTTAGATCAGTGGTTCCCAAACTTTTTATCTTCTGACCCACAAAATATCCATGGCAAAACCTTGTGACCCCAAATATTACTGGTCTGAGTACATGAGCTTTGTTAATAACCCTAAAAACACAGGCTTTTTGACAATCTAAACAGCTTGTACACAAATATAAATACTTATTTATACTTATTTTGTGTTTTTGTAATAATTATATCAGCAATTATTTTTTTACCCTTTAAATTGATTTCTGGAGATTATCCAAGGTGCTTCATGACCCATTCCAAGCCCAGCTTTGGGAACCAAAGTGCAGTGGTTCCCAAACTTTTCAGCTTTTGACCCACAAAATAACAGTAGCAGAGACCTGTGCCCCCAACTATTTTTGGATGATAAACATTTCTATCAGGTCAACTAAACAATAGTTAATGTTAATAGTAACAATATTTTTATACTACATTTATCCATTTTAAATAAACTAACCTCACACCTTTGTAACAACTAAGGCAAAAATGTTATTAATTCCGAAAATCTTTTCAGGACCCCACCTTGATTTCTCGGGACCCCACTTTGGGTCCCGACCCCAACTTTGGGAAACACTGGTTTAGATGGTTGACTCCAGGCACCTTAACTCACCCCCTTTAATGCATCCAGTTAGAGGACCGGCACGTTTCTTCCACTTCAAGCCCTGCTACAGATCTCTCTGCTGTTTCCTAATGTTCATGCATTTCGAGTAGGAAAAGGTTGACTAAAAACACAATAAGACTGACTGACTGACATCCTAACAGGATAACAGGAAAAAAACTGCATTGAAAACATCAGCTTGAATCGTGAAACATTCCAGTTACATCTCACTTTTACTGCTAATGATCTACAGAACAGGATTATGAATAAATCATCATTCTTTGAAACTTTCTGAATAAACGCAGTTGAAAATGAGCAGACAGATGAAACTCTGGCCCAGTAGCAACTCTTCCATTTGATCTTTTCTTTGATTACTTTCAAACAGCGGTTAAAAAAGAAAGGCAAGCGCGCTCAACAGACAGCTTCATCAGGATTGTTGGCATTTTCGCTTAACATCACTTACAGGGTAAATTTAATTACTGCTCCAAAGAATGGACACAGTTGTACTGGCGCACACCTCCAACGTCTTACAAGCTCTTTCAATTAGATGTGGAAATTAGATACACAGCAGTCTAATTACAGAGGCCGCATTGAACTTGGAGGGAACATGTTTATCCTTCTGTGCCTGCAAAGACTCGCAGTAATGAAGTCAAAGGTTGTGTTGTTCATCACAAACAGCAGAGGATTAAACTGGTTTCTCTGTAATAAAATGTTGCTGTTGTATCTTAAAACTGTTCAAGCATTTATGTTAGCATTAAAAACTGTTATTTACTTTATAATTAGAGCATGTTGCTGAACTTACTGTTAAAAAGCATAAAAGCAAACTATTTGCATATCATTATAATGTGTAACACTTAACTTTTTAATATGTTAAATGTTCATAATTCCTTGTGTTTCAGAAAGAAAGAAAAAGTTGTGTTAGTCACAGAATAAAAAGTCTCAGGTCAGAACAGTAATCTAACCTGGTTCAATGGGTAATATAAAAAGTTAGGACAGAGATCAACAAGGCAACAGTTTATCCTGGAGATAACAACAGTGAGCTGAAGCCCAGCATACAGTACTACCCTACAATCACATCCAATATAAAAGACTTTATAGAAAGGATGTGAGAAGGAGGAAAAACTTTAACACCCAACATCCAGACTGACTAAACAACATTGTTCCAACTTTCAAAGAGGAATCTGACGTGACAGGTGGAGATCGAATGAGGTCCACCAAGGATGATACAGAAAGAAGGAGTCCAGGTAGAAGGTCAGGAGCTGACCAAATCCATAAACCTCATTCATAAAACAGCTCAGTCTGAGACTGACGCGTGTTCTCTGTCCTCCTCGGGTCATTCAGTAAAAACACGAAGGCGGAAAGGGGGGGTAAAGTGAGCCCACTTCTGAGGCCTCTCTGAGCCTCCGAGCAAGGTAGTATCTGAGCCGAGCCCGAGCCGGGCAGACCGACTTGTGAAAAAGGAACCCACAGTTCTGCAGCTCAGGAAATGATGATGAGCTTATGGCATCAGTGAGTGACCGCAGGATTAATCAACAGATTTATTACCGAGGGAAGATGACCCTGAACAACTTTGTAGTTAGTTTAAAAAAATACTGAACCACGGGATCGCTAAAATGAGTTAACTCAGTTTGTTTTGTTTGACTCTATGCAGACGCCTGTCACACAATAAATACGTTGCGGTCCACTTCAACCCAGCTGAGATCTGTTCCGTGCCTCTTTTGGGTCCACACAGCCAGGTTTATTTACGAACGCATACATGTGAGCGGGTACTGGCCGGCTTCACCTGTGATTTATGAACGAACCAGTCTGTGCTGCAATTTCGCAGAACTGTCTTGTGAAGGAGGCAGAGAGGCTGAGGACTTTATGCCACATGGATCAATGTCAGAGGTACTTTGTTTTTCCACTATGAGACTTATTTGTGTGAAAGACACTGTTAGGGTTTGTGTATTGTAGTTGTATTTCTGTGGTTCTTTGGGGTATTTATATTATCTTTGTGTTTAGCTCATTTCCTCTTGTCTGTTTATCTGTG